CTCCTTCCACGTCGCTTACATTCATATTACATTTTTCTCCATTTTGTAATGCATTTTATCGCCGGCGAAATTTCTCCGGTTACGATCCTCGATAGGATTGGTATCGGTAGACGACACGCTTATCGGTAGTTTCGATCTTTTTATTATCGGCACGACACCAATGACTGATATTTAAAATGCATACAGGTGCACGGTTACGATATGCAGAGCGAATTAAAATCGTTTCATTATTTTTTTTTTTTTTTTTTTTTCATGGTATTTATAAAAAGTTACGCGATAACAAGTTATCGCATCGGTTGCATTGCATCTGAATATGTATCATTAACTTATACTACTTAACATCGTACCACACTTTGATTTTAATATTTATCGTAACTATTTTAATCTCTTACTTTGATCTCCGGCTAAAGGGAGAGCTTAGCACCTTTATTTGATAATATCATCCACGTCTACCTATATCAAACTTTTTTTGAATAAGCTCAGTTCGTCATGGAGAAAAGCGATTCGCAGAGCATAGATCAATATTCGAAAGTTGTTGCCGTTCGTTTCTCACTTTCTCATTCTTCTTCGCTTAGATGTTGCGAAATAAAACCTTTCTCGCGATCACGTCGTGGTTATAACCCGCGAAAAATGTCAACGTTGGTGGTGGATAGGTATGTAATACGGTGTATCGGTTGGGGAGTATCGAAAACTTGATGTTTTCTGGAGCCGCCACGTTCTCTACACGATCGGTACCTCAATAAATCAGTCGAATTCCCTGCTCGATTCCCTTCTCGTTCTTCGGCTTGGTAAAAATATCAAGGCGTTTCATGCGTTCGTCCTACCTCGCCCTCATAAAAGTTCTACGAGTTTAGGATCGAATTGCTAAATTCACTGAGAAACGACACCGACTTTCGAGGGTGCTACCAGCTACGAATTTCGATGGTTTGCCGTCCGATAACGATATGATTCCTCGTCCTCAACGACGAATGAGAACGATCGAGCTTTGATATTATTCTCGATGTGTAGTCATGACACTCTCCTCTCTCTCTCTCTCTCTCTTCTGGATTGGTATTAGGTGTCGTACGCTTTATACGTATATAGTGTAGGACTCTTGGAATGAATCGAAGTGTAGACTCGAAGCCGGCAAGCAGATTCCAATTTAGATTCGATGTTGGTACGCTCAAGGCGTAGGAGAGCGAGTTCTACGTTCTCTTTCTCTCCCGCTCTCTCTCTCTCTCTCTCTCTCTCTTTCTCTAGTGTAGCATCGATGGTAGTTCGTACCTTCAACAACGTTGCTGTTCCTAGCGGATGATGCACGCGCCGTAGAGCGACCAAGTCATTCGTACAAAATGCACAGGCAAACAGGAAATTAAGTAACGGGATCGAAGTCACGGAGAAAGTGATGACCCAACAGCAAAGGTGCAACGCGTTGTCTCTACTACGTGTATCAGATAGCTATTTTCTATGAGAGTTGTGTCTGACTATATCCCGAATGTGATAGTACCTATCTTTTACGTTATCTTGCTTCGTTTATCGATAGCATACCATCTACCAACCTACCAACCTCGTGATTGAATTACTTCGACTAAATGCCATACACATTCAATCTTTCATGCGCGAATTTAGATCATACGTTGGGAGATCGAGTGGATGCTTTCAAATAAATTCTCCAGAAACTCTCTCTCCCTCTCTCTCTCTCTCTCTCTCTCTCTTTTCTTATAATAAACGCGCGAGGTCGATCGATCATCATGCTTGGAACGATAAGAACGCGAAGAAGAAAAAGGCAAGAGGCAAGAAAGAAGGAAGGGAAAGAAACTCGTTTGAAAAATTTGGAAATCAACAAGCAACGCAAGAAGGATCTGTATCATTATGATGTTGGTGGTTGGAATAAAAGACAGAGAAAGAAAGGGAGAGAAAGAGAGAGAGAGAATAAAGTGAACGGAACGTTGAGTAGAAAAGAAGCAAGTGTTGTTGGATGGAAGAATGGACGATAGAATGAAAGGGGGGAGTTACAGGAGGAGGAGGAGGAGGATGAGGAGAATGATAGTAGAGCAGGGAGGGCAAAAGAGGAGCTCGGTCAGGTGTGGGGCGTAGCCACGATATATCGTGGCTGAGCCTTTATTAAAACTGCTTTCGGTATTATTGCTTTCCGGGAACGTCGGGCCTCGAAAATGGCATTTCCGCGAGATAGGCTGGTTTCTCGTGTGTGTGTGTGTCCGAAAATGTATATACCTACTGATATATACGTTCATATACGCGCATGTATATCTATGTATGTGTTATTTGGCTCGGAACAGCAACGTTGTCCCTGAGGGCACCACCACAAGCCAGTGGACCAACGGTATGGCCAGCAATAAATATGCTCTTCACTTTGTACAAGTCGCTCGTCTACTCTTATATTGTCCTCGCTTCGTTATTGCGTCCCAACAAAAAAAGCAACGCCCACCGATTCGGTATTTTTGACTAAACGGCGTTGGGAATGATCTTTAAAATCTGCATACGTGATCGCACAGCATATTTACGACACAGCATTTGTTCCTCATTGATACGCTAATTTTGTTCAAACGAAATGTTACGTATATTTTACGTTCATTTGTAGGTCTTTCGTGAAAGCGTTCAATCGTATTTTAATAGTTACACACCTGCATATTATAATATATGATCTTTAATCTTTTAACGTAGATAAATATATTTATATGAGAAGGTTGGGAAACATATTGCAAATTTTCGAAGTAAAGATCGTTTTAATATTCGAAATGATGTTTAATCTCATTATTTACGTTCTTGTTTGGAAAATAAATTAATTAAGTAATTATATTATATTTGATTTCAATAAATCAAGAAACATTTGATTTTTTATTAAACTAACAGTAAAAAAATATTTTAATTTCATATAAAATAATCGATGATTAGAATTCAAATGAAATTTCATTTTCAATTGAGTATTAGAGTGTATAGCTATTGATAACAAAAAAATGAAAAAAACTCAGTTCTTTTTTTTTATCTTTAAATATCGATTGTGCCTATATAGGCATATGTATAATAATAATTGATGATTAGGTGAGTCTGCCGTATTTAGTTCATAGTTCATGTCTTTAAGGACTTTTAGTATAGTCTCTGAAGGAGTTAGCATCCTTGCCAAGACTATCATCGCAGTTATCGCCAATACGAAGTCGTTCGGCATCACGAAGCAAGTAGGAAAGACGATAGTAATAAAGGAGTCACGGCGGTAATGGATGATATTGACAAGCACTTTCCTTCCTAGCTCGAGTCCAAACCTTCGAAACCTTAGCCTCTCTTCATCGCTGGAAGGTGATGGCGCGTTCCTTACCAAAGTACTAGTGGCGACCAAGCGCTGAATAGTTTCTCTCGGATCGTCCTGAACAATGCAAATTGATGCGGAATCGATACTAAGCTGGTAGGAGTTTCTAATAAGATTCCCTTGCTTCCTTCAACGTGGCATACCCTTTATACGCAATATATGTATATATAGATATATACATACAGCTATATGTATATACAAAGTGACTTTAGAGGGGTGTTGAAAATGTATAGTTGCTTCTCAGACGAAGGTACTTTTAGTCATTGTATTATGTTATACCAAATGTTTCTCATATGAATTAAATATATCCGATTAATTTCGAGCGATCTAATATAAATTGTTTCAAAATATTAATGGTTGTCTGTTGTTTATTAATTTATACTATATAATGAAAAATATTCGTTTATTAAACGATATATAATATAATTAGAATATACTTATATTAAAATTGCAGCTATATCATTTTATTATACATAACTTTTATATCAACATTATTTGGTAAAAAAAAAAAAAGATTGTATGAAATTATTATTAAACATTTTTCTTATAATTAGACCACATCCTTATCTCAATATTATACATAGATACTTGTCACCTTTTTTATTTTATTTTTTAAATTAAAAACACAAGACGCGTTTCTTTTTTTGGAGATCCTACCTTGCTCCTCTCTCTCTCTCTCTCTCTCTCTTAAGTTTTGCGAAATATAGTATGAGATAATTCGCATTCTTCGCGGATATATACAATGACACGATCGTGAGTGAAATAAAAATCAAAGGATATTCTTCTTTCGAAGTCTGAACACGGTAGATGATAATTTTTCAGTAGGGGTTGCGGGACTGATCACGTCCCAGCATGTCCATCCAGTTGATTAACTGCGTATCACCCATCCGTCCATCGTAGGACGTTCAACATAGTAGAGGCAGGTAGGCAGGCAGGCAGGCAGGGAGGCAGGCAGGTAGGTAGGTCGTTCGGCCACCACGTAGCGTCCTCATTATCCGTAAATTATTTCGCTGCCGTCACGTTGGACTGGCTAGGGAATTGGAATTGATTACGCTGAACGTATAGGGTGCAAACTCGTCGATCCGTAATAATGTAGGATACGTTCGTGTTTCAGCGGTTGCGTTTCGATACAGCACACCGTATGCATTGCCGTTTGCAATTGATTGTTCGGATTCCGACACCGAGAAGGATTCTGCTTAAACTCGAAACATTGCACCTACAGAATAAAGGGAAAAAATCACAAACTCTGACGAGTGCTCGTCAGGCCGATCGAATTATTTCGTTAAATCGACCGGGGCTAAAGTGCACCCTGTACTGAACGCGTCATCGCACACGAGTGTCTCTATCTCTCTGTCTCTGTCTTCCTCTCTTTCTATTTCTCTCTCTCTCTCTCTCTCTTATACATGCATACTGTCACTAACTCACTCGTTCTCTTTCACTTTCGTTTGGTCGGACCAACCGACTATGAAATCGTTTCTAAAACTTACCTGTCATTTTCTCAATCAAATCATCGAAGATTATAATTTATGAAGAATAAGAAGCATAATTATATGAATTTAATTGATTTAAATAATATTTATTTGTTTATATATAAGTATTTGAAAATCAGATATTATATATTAAAAGGAGATGAAATTTTTTAAACTGATGAAAATTTTCACTAAAATTTCTCACTGTATTACTATTTTCATCTTAGGAATAAGGGTAAGAAGATTAAGTTAATCTTTGTGGATACGAAGACAATGGGAGACAGTATCAGGAGACAAGCAGACCAAATAGTGGGGGAAAAGGAAGAGGAAGGGGACAGTGAATAATGCGAACACAATTTGACTGCAACGGCATTAATTATCAAGACTCGGTTTGTATGTACGTATATGCCTGTATATGTACCCGTTTATCTAACACTCACTTGGTAGTTCGAATCGACGATGGAACGAGAACCGTCTAATTACCTTCGAACTTCACTCATTGTCAGAGAAAGAGAATACTTGAACGTTAGGATCGTGCGAATACATATACTAGATCAATTCTCATTTCACTGTACTTCTTTATCCATTCATATGTTTATATTTATCTTTACATAAGTTGTAGTATCTCTTTACTATACGTATAGAGTCCCACATCATGATAATCGACGGCATTATATTTTAACTGGCTCAATTGGATTGAAACGAATCGCTCGCATCTACTCAAATTCGCAGGCTACGTGCTTGTATAATTATGCTACTTCCGTCCGTGTCGTACGGAATCAACCACGCGTACATATGCGTGCATTTATAGTAATCTACCCGGGGATACGTGTAGATGATACATATATAATATATATATATATATATATATATGTATATAATCGTATCTGTGTATGTATATACAAGTTTACGCGTATACACAATATATTTCGCGTATATCTCCGTAACGTACCGTATGTTACGATAGCAAATACGTTAACGTACATACGTGTGTAGGTACATCGGGTTTCATTGGGCAGACTTATTTCGTGGTCGTCCTAGTCTCATTCGCACGATGATAAATGGGTTAATTAAGCGTTTCGCGTTCGGCCTGGTTCGCGCTTCACCGGCGGTCTCCAATCTACGTCGGCTAGCTTTGTTTATCGTATTGTGTAATACCCTGGATGTACCGAATCCAATTGATTTTCTTTCTTTCCTTTTTTCTCCTCGTTCTTTTTCTATTTATCTTTTTATTGTCGTTTGCTTTTACTAACACGTATGTAACGTTTGAAATCGTTTTTATTAGTTTACGTTGTCATTCGTTCGTGTCTATGATTTTATTTTCATATTTTCTTTTCCTCAATGAATTTATTCAATCGAAACAGTCGAGTTTGTCACAATAAACTTAATCGTCGTTGATTATATTAAAAGGTATTATATTCAAGATATTCCAGTGAAAGCCTGAAAGCCGGATCGAAGAACTCAAAGCGAAATTTCATGACACGGTTTCCTCTCTCTCTCTCTCTCTCTCTCTCTCTCTCTCTCTCTCTCTTCGTCTATCCTTTCGTTTCTATCTTCCTTTCGGAGGTCGAATTAAGGCGCTGAGGGTAACCATAATCGCTACGTCTCGGGATCCCGTTGTCGGGTCACGTACCGAAATCCGGGTAGCTAATTAGCCTTCCACAGCTCGAATGATCCACCCTGGTCAATCAGCGGCGGAGATTCGGTCCTGATTCGATCCTCGGAGCCTCGTTAGCACCATCGTCGTATATATTCTCTACTCTCTGCTCTCCAAGCTTGTATTAGATTTCCGTAGAAATATCCGGAAGACTGGAAGCTTACATCTACACCGTACTTTGCATTATATCTACGATATTTTTTAAATTATAACTTGTTTTTTTTTTTCACGAATATTCGTAAAGTGCATTATGCGTATAATATATCTATATCATATCATATACACATGCATCAATGTAATTTAATGTAAGTAGGTATACACGACGTGAGAGACGACGTGGTATAATTTTACTTTAATATTTTAGAAAGGTTTACGCTCGAACTGATATTATATTCGTCGAAAGAAATGCATGCTGTAAGAAGAGATAGGTCTTTGGTGAATTCGAAAGAGCCAGATAACGTATAACATTGTACGAAAAGAGAACATTTAAATGTAAGATCTCAAAAGGGTGTTCCTGGCATCAAAGCTGCGGACCTTTCCTTTTAGGAACTACCAAAATGTGATTAAACGTTCCAATTCCAGTCGGTCATAGGTTGGTACATATGTATTCACGTATCTAACGTCTATGAGTATTGCTTTTCCAGCTCTTTCCCTTTGACTTGTTCGGAATACTCGATCGGTACCTTTCTCGATCACAAAGCATCTATCTAGAATAGATATCTCTATCTACGTATATGTATATAAAACGTTCGCGTAATTTCGAATTTGATTTCGAAGTTCAAAGATGAGCCAAATGAGACAACTCTTTTGACTTTTGACTGATGATTAAAAAGGAAAAAAAAAATCGATAAAGAAGATAAACAAACGAAATAACAAAAGTTTACAATAATATTTTTTCGAAAATGTTTGAGATTTTTCTCGTAAAAGAAGGAACGAGAGAGAGGTAGAGAGAGAGAGAGAGAGAGAGAGAGAGAAAGAGAAAGAGAGAAAACAGACACAACGTGCCTTTCTCGAGTTAACGAGCAATCCATTACTTGAATTAATATCTGGAGCAAATTGCGTTTCTCTCTGCAGAAGGGTAGCTAGGCATTCCGGTAACGCGCTGATCCTGCGCCTAGTAGCAGGACCGAGCAAACGGTACGGTGGTCGTTGTCAGCGTGCTATTACTAATTCAGAAGGCAGGCGGTTGCTGTGGCGCAACGTTATACGGCAGACGACGCATTCTGCATAGCGCATTCAACGGCACAATGGGCCGTGGATGCGAGTTTTGAAATATGAATATGAATACGGGCGCGAGTGCACGCTTCGTCGAATCGGGCCAACGAAGACAGGAGGTTGCCGATCGATGATTCGCTTTCTCTACTTTTTCCATTTCTCTCTCTCTCTCTCTTTTTCGCTATTGCTCTATCTCTTTCTTTCTCTTTTCGACGCGTCCATCTCCACATCTTTCTCTTTCTCTCTTTCATTCTCTCTATCTCTATCTCTCTTTCATTCTCTCTATCTCTATCTCTCTTATACCTATACACAGAGTATATTCTCACCGGTATATATCTACCTCTCGCGATAAAGCCGTGGATGATTTATTGGATTGTTAAACGGGAGAGATCGCCCGTGTCCTCTCGATCCTCTTTATAAGAGCGAGCGAGACAACGTATATGTGCGAGAGACCGAGAGGGAACGGAAGAACGAGCGTTTCTCCACGTTCTCGACGTGACTTGGCCGACGAAGCTGCAACGTTCACAAATCATTCACCGATATCGTTCGAGAACGGCGAGGATTTATTTATCGAGCGCGTTAATAAACGCTCAAATTCGCGAAGATTCTAACGTTTTTGAATTTGACCAGCAGATCAGCTTAAAAATGACTCTACGCAAGTCAAAAAGTGTTGCCGAATTTTCGTCTGAGCACGATAATCATCATTGACTGATCACTTTTCGTTTGGTATAATTTAAATTCTACGATGTTAATTCATATGGAATTGCGTTACTTAAAGTAACTGTGTCGCGTTACCCATTCTATCGTCGGCAAACATATTTGTTTGTAATGACTATGCATAGAATAGCTGAGCAAGCGAATAACGATACCATACCTCGCATGCATTTATCCGTGTAATTTCGTAGTCGAGTTGAGTATCCTTTTTTCTTTTAAAATCATACCGACCATTTTTAACGATCATTTCGATGAAAAAAATCTAATTAATTTATTCTCGATTCTGTATTTTTCTTCTTATATTATAGCACAGTATCATTACTCCGAGTTACTTGAAAAATAGAACTACTTTATATAGCCAATAAAAATGTCCATCCGTTTAACGTACCGCGAAACTCACGAAACGAGTAGGTATCGAGGTAAACAACAAGCAGTTGAACAACGCCTTTGATTTATCTTTACTGCCATCTCCTATCGACCCTGGCTACGAATGGAACTAAAGAGCCTCTAGACTTTTCCGAAGATTTATCGAAGAAAATCGTCCGAAAGGGTGGAAAATTCGTTGTTGGCCAGCGCATACGGGAACGATCTCGCGGTTAATTTCACACACATATATATATATATATATATGTAGTTATATATACATAGATATATTTAGAAAGTATAGAAGATCGGTGCACCGATTTCGTGGGACGTGCTGGAAGCACATATTTACCCTTTAACATGAATCCTTCCCTTGGATTCCCTCTCTTTCCTGCAATCTTTTTCTTTTTCTTTCTTCCTCTTCCTCTTTCTCTCTCTCTCTCTTTTTTACATAGAGAACACTCTCTTCGTTCCTTTTCGGACGATTTCGTGGCGAGAAAGAGCAGGGCAAAGGAGACGAGAGACCCTCGGCAAGATGCTGCCGCCGGCAATAACCGGTAACGTATTACCACTTCTGGTCGGTTGAACGCATTTAGATCGCCTATTTGGCAAGGTACCCGAATAACTTTGCGTTTTACTTCGGTACGGGTACGAATCAAGCGCGAAAACCACGCCAACCGTCGAGTTACGATGAACCGAGAAACCGATATCGCTGTCGATAGTCGCGAAAAGGCTAGGAAGTAAACTTTTTTTGTTTGAAAAAAATCTTTCATTGTGTTGACCATTCGTTTGATTGCTTACTCATTGAACACAATTTCAGATTTTATTCATTATCTGGCTGATAGGTATACTAGTGAGTTTTAATGAGTAAACCTGCAACAACAAATAGCATATAATGATTCTCTTTTCATTCAGCTAATCTTATTCTGCAATTGCATAGATACGAGAGTATCACTGCGTAGTAATTTATATATGTAATACATTTATCGAAAATATGATAAGCCCGTAATGTCAATTTTCTCATCATTACGATTATTTGTTAATAATGAAAATTGAGAATAATTTGTGTTAACAGTTAAATAGTTTTTAGTTTAGTAATGGGTTTTTAAATATTACATTAAATAATATTAATATTATATGAGAGTAATGAAAAGTTTTAGGAATAATATGTAATATACGTTATTGAGGAATGAATTTATATAGATATCATTGACTTATCACATCTTCAATACCTTCACATAAACATTATTCATTTTGTTCGTTATAAAATAGGATAGGAGAGAAATAACATAAGATAAAAGAAAATTCAATTCAGTAATATAAAGAAGGAACTTCTAGCATAAGAAAATAATATAGATATATTAGTGATTAAAAGTAGCTCAATGTTGATCTAAAGGGAAGAACATTTGATAGTTAATAGTTGTATATAGT